CCCCAAAACCCCAAAACCCCAAAACCCCAAAACCCCAAAACCCCAAAACCCCAAAAAGGTTTATAAGCACTGAAATATCAGAAAACTTTATAACAAATTAATTAACAAAATGGAAAAATCGAACAGAAATTTAGTGAAGAAAGGTACAATCTCCACATTTTATTGGATTAAGCAGGAATTTTTACTCCAGTTTTACAAAAACTTACCGATAAGTATAGCCAGAAAAGATATCAGAATTGGAAAGAAGATAAAGTCAACCAAAAATGTGATGGAACCAAAAAGTAATAAAGAAGTCAGGTTTGATTTCTCCCAAAATGAAATTTGACACATCAATGATATTCCTAAAAGAACGACGAGTATGATATTTGGCTTAACTATGTAGGCTCGGTTTGTAATTCACCAATGGGAAAGAGTTGTCTGAAGAATCCTATGGTCAGTCCAATGAAACCAAGTCCTGTTAGTTGTAAGCCAAATTTCCCTTAAAATTTCATTCGGTTCTTTCCTTCGGTATCTAACCTTGCATTCAGTACAAAAATCACGCATAAGAAATATTACTGGAAAAGTCTGCATACCAAAGATTGGAAAGAAACTTAATGATGCAGTGAAGAAGAGCACTCAAGCCAGTGATTCTCATTATTCTTTCAGCAAATGTAAGACTCAGATGTTATTCCATTTGGTGACATTCATTTCGATTCTACCAACTTCTGATACTGTTGGACATCACTAACTTATCTCATAGCGATTGATGATACTAAAAGTGTCTCTGAATCATCGGTTTCGCAGGATTCCTCAAAGAAAAAGGTAAGATCACATTTTGGTGACCCATTCGTTAAAGCGTACCTAATTTCATCTTTAGAGGTGCAGTTCTTTAGGAGTCAGACAGAAAAGATTTAAGCGCAGTAAAAAGACCTCAGATATCCTGGACTATATTTATAAGAAGGACTATACGAGCCCTAAAGGTACTATAATCATACTTATACCATAGACATAAAGAATAAACAGGATTTATATGATCGGAAATTCGAGGCTATCATGAACTCTCCTAAAGAGAGTGATTGCTCAGGCAGCTTCGAAATCAATCACATTCCTAGCAGAAGTGATCTGAACAACCATAAGTTCAGGAAGGGAGAGAATCTTGGAATGATGCTAAAGAAATCCATGAAACCTAAGCGTAAGTTTGCTTAAAATCGATAGCTTATCTACAAAAGTTCCACCGTTTCTAATCTATTTTATAGGCACTAAGAAAAGAGGAAAGCCAAGGAGGGTCTTTTCAAACTCAGAAGCCCTTCTATTTCTCTAAAATTAAAACCATTCGTTAAATTGAACGGTGAAGCACAAATCTCTATCTAAATCTTCTATAACATATTCTCGAAGTTACTCGTTCACCATTTCAACCAAAGTTTACAGCGCGGGGTTTTGGGGTTTTGGGGTTTTGGGGTTTTGGGG